AGAACATGGAAAATGAAATGTAAACTGTGTTTATATAGGGGATTATACTGATTAGGCTTTCCCAAAATTAGGGGTACCTTTTTAGGGGTCCCAATAATAAGGACTATCGTATTTTAGGGTCCATATTGGGGTCCCCCTATTTTGGGAAACTACCATGTCAAGGCTCAAAAATCGCTTGAAAGGGGAAGCAGGAAGCTTAAGATCAACATTTGAAACTTCGGACGACCGTCACAGAAACTAGAATGGGACCCCAGAAACGGCTCTGCAAGGACCATTGTCTTTTGAGGGGGACACTACATGTGGTGCGATGATAGTTTGGGGGGGTGTGGTGCTGCATGAAAACAAAGAAGGCCTCTGCAGAGAAAGTAGAAAAATGATAGTCTAAGGTTTCGGGATTACGGGATGCTGGTTTAGGGTTTGGGGTTTAGGTATTCAAGGGTTTGTGGTTGAGTACTGTTTTCTGGGTTTGTGCACGCTGGATCCAATGCTGCTCAGATTGGATAAAACGAGGCTTTAAGGGGGATGGCGACGATCACGTTGGCATAGACTGCTGCCCAGCGGAAACTTGAAATTCAACCCCCACGCACTTCTAAACTACGTCCTACAGCTCGGACCCTGAACCCTACACCCTGAAAACACAAAAAGAACAGTGGTTCTGGGCCGTAGCCCTAAGAGTTAAAACTCTACACAAGTCAAGATTCGAAAGCCAAAGTTCCCGCACCGAGCGATTCCAGTAACAACGAAACCTATCTCCATGTAAGCCTTAAGCTGGCACGTAAGCTGGCATTAAGGACTGCGACCTGCCAACCTTAGTGAAAAATAAGTTGATGGGCCTTCATCGTGCCAAGTCTTGAACTTGATGCATATCTTCGGGGCTGGGCTCAGAATTAGGTTTTAAGTTTTACCTGGACCCCAAAAGTATGTAAAATAATGGCCCTTATGACTGTTACTATGAGTTTAGGGCTAGTATTTTACATACTTTTGGGGTTTAGGTAAGATTTAAGTGTCCAGGCTCAGGTTTCTGCATGCTCCAAACTCTGAAATCCTCAAAGCCCGGAAGTACAACCATGGCAAAAGAGACATCTATGTATCGTGCGCTGCCGATGAAATAAGCGGATATACGCTGACCCTGTTCCAGTTGCTGAAGCGCGTATGGTAGAATAATTGTCAGCATGATAATGACTAGATTGAACAGGGCCGCTGGCAAGACCAAATGAGTAGTCTTCCTCAGTGGTTAAACCACGTATATTATGTACACTTTCTGAGTCCCTTATACCCGCAAAAAAAGTTACAATCTTAGACTATACTAATTTTGGCGGCTAGAACGCCCACTACTACACACATGGCACGCAGGCACGCGGCTACGGGCGCCACCGACCCCAACTGTCAAGCCTGAAACCTTATCGGAGTCATATATGAGTTTATTGGGCCCTGGATTCGAGGGTTAAGGTTGCCCAAATATTCATTATAAAGTAAACTACCCACGTGGTGAAAATTCCAAAGGGCACCTCTTGGCAGTTCGCAGTTCTCTATAGCCGGTATCTTAGCGAGGGAGGAGGCTTCATCCTATATCATGCGCAGCAGAACTCGACGATACTATCAAAAATGCAGCGTCCTCATGCCAATCGTGCTCCATGCTGTTGATCCTGCACCCTAAGCGCCAAGCCCCCGAATCAAAAACCAACTTGCTTGCAACGAAAACCCGTTGGGTCTAACACTTAAGGTGCTGAGGACTTCCAAACACCCCAAACACAGAGAGATCCCTCCAACACAAATGTGAAAACCCCCGTAGGCCCCTGCTAAAATGACACTGGCCTCAACCGGAGTTCTGTGCTAATTTGGGGGAATGCCGCTTCTGGATGCATGGCTTTGCCTTAAAGCTTACCTTCGTCAGATTGCATGTACGAAGTCCTACATACATTCCGTTCGAGAATTACGAAATCCGGTTTACGCCACAGAAGAACCCCGCACCCAAATCTCATCAAAACAACAGCGCTAGACCCCAAAAGGTAAGGTTTACTCAAACTCCACTACTCCAAAGAAGCCTAAAAATGTAGGGGCACTGCAAAGGTGTTGTGCGGATGCCTCTTGCAAGCTTTGGACAGAAGTCATTTTCCCTAAGGGTCCAAGGACCCAAATAATAGGGTCTTAGGGCTCGAACACTGTGATAATATTGGTATTGAGGGCCCCATTATTTGGGTCCCTGGACCCTTACCTAAACCCCAAAAGTATGTAAAATACTAGCCCTAAACTCATAATGACAGTCATAAGGGCCATTATTTTACATACTTTTGGGGTCCAGGTAGGGCTTCAGCCAATGACAATTCGCAACAATAGATTTTAATCCATCAACTCTTGGGTTCCTTACCATGCCCCTATATTACCTTTAGGGTTTAGGGTTTAGGGTTTAGGGCCCCCCTAGTGATTTGAGGATAACTATGGCTGATTAATGCTAAAGGGGGAACCTAAGTGGTGGTAGAGGGATTAAAGTAGCGGAACTTCTGCTCTCCCGAAGCCCTGGCCTCAGCTGCGAGTGCTGCGTGAAGCTGAGCAACCTGTTTCCACTCTTTGGAATCATCTGATTCGTGGTTCTGAAGTCGAAATGGAAACCTACTGCTTACACTCACCAAACTTTCAATCGACTTCCATGCACAAGCAGACACTTAGAAATCATACGTCATATTGATTCGGTAGGGACCAAATATGGTTTGATAGGGCTGAGAAATGGATTTTGGAAGGTTATGAACATGAAGTGGTTTTCGAAAGCCGCCAAACACATAAGTGATTCGGACTTGATCCACGCAATTGACACCCAAAAGGATTAAACGCAGACAAAGGTCGCCTGGGCTTATGCTGAACACCACGTTTTCTGAAACACTACAAGGCGACTCGTCACAGTCAACACAACCTTGGGACCCGAAAGGATACATACTGCGGATTTTGAGAAACTGCCTCACCCAGAAACCAAACCCAACATATCTGCAATGATCTCAATGCCTCCATAGGTGTTGAATTTAGCAAATCTCCTTACCAAGGCATCAAGCCATGACTCTAATCGGTATCACAGCATCCTCCCAAGTGACTACTCGTTTGAGCTCACGTCGCCAATCACAGTTCGACTGCATGCTTGTGTACCAAAAGTTGTTAATTCAGGACCAAAATGCTTCCAAAATCTTAAAATTATCTCTCCATTTTCTACGTAACCGTTTTTGGGTGAAGTCAGGTGAGAACGCTACAGTTTGGCCTGGTTCTATAATGAATTTCGGTAGCCCTCACCCCTCAAATCAGCACATGATTTGTGTTATAATATGATAACGGTGATAACGAAAAGCCCTCCTATGGTTGCAAATGATTGCATGAACAAAGAACTAGAAATGACAAAAACAATCTTACCCTTGTCCCTCTAAGCTCCAGGTTGTCCACCCTGTTGCCCTTTACGGCACCTCGCTCTGCCACCTTGCCACTTGCCGCTGTGATTCAGCAACCTTCAGGGGGCTCAGATGGTGGGATGGTTTAGGATTTATAGGGTTTAG